TCATATTAATCCTTCTTCATGTTCCTCCTTATACTATTTTCCCCTACTTCTAGAGACTGTCTCTCTGCACATCTAAATCCTAGTTATCCTTCCCTCCATCACAAATCCTTCGCCAATTTCTATAGTCCAGACTAACGTCATCCACAAGAAATACAAATACGGTAAAATTCCTACTGCACATACAAAAATACTGCATTATTTAACATTCAATTATTCTCTGATTTCTTTTGAGAGTATAATTTTGTCTTTCCAACTAGCCCATAAACACTTTGAAGCAGAGACCATGTTATACTTACTGGTGGCCCTTATTGAGACCAGGAGAGTTAGTTACATAACGTATACTTGCACTGACTCAATACTCAGCCAAATACTTAAGCACCTTAAGAAATTTATGGCAGGCATAAAAATAGTCTCACCCAGGAACTAAAAGAAATAAGCCAACAGTTCTAAAACACCCAGCTATCTTGAGTAAGGTTTTATGAAAATTTGTAATTTCTAGAAAACTAGGTATCTCTCACTTAAAGAATTTATGCATTATTCTCTTTACCTACAATATCAATAGTAGCTGGGAAGATGGTCAAAGCTAGAAATATCTGGCTTGATAAAAACAGGTCCTAGACATTGGGATATATTTAATTAGATAAGATGATAAAATTTCTATATGCAAAGTTTGTGTAAAAAATTGGGCTAAATTTTTTTCTTTGTTTATAGGTCTTTAAAATATAATGTCTAATGTTTCAAATGTCTATGCTTATGTGAAGACTGACAGTAACAAACTAAATAATATACTTTGTACCCAGATTATGCTCTATTTTCATAGATCTCCAAACATTTAATTTCATAATAATTTAAGAGAAAAACAATTATCTCAAGACTTTAAAAAATATATAAAAATTATCATGCCCAGTTTGAATTAGAAATCTGAGAAAGAATAATTGCTAATTATAAATATTATTAATGTAATGGGATATTTAACTACTATGCAAGGATAGAGTAAGAAAAAAGATAGATGGAACATATTAATAAACATTGCAGTTATAAGGAGAAACACCTCATAACTAATACCTTGTTTTCAATAACTGAAGTTATCCAGGTGTCATGCTTGTAAGTATATACAATAATATTTTCATAGCCATCCATTACTTTGGCATCACCTTTGTTAAGGACAGATTTACAAATGGCCTTCTCAAGTTGCCCACTACATCCCTCCATATGGACAGCTTTAATTCTTGGCTTGCATTTGTCTGCATAGATATCAATGATAAATGGGCATGCCTGATATGAAAGAAAAAGCAAACCTTGTTATAGCCTTTTGACAGAATTTAAAATAATTTATTATTAATATGATTATCATATGATTTAAGAAGGTGTCCTGCATCTTCTAGCTTGTCCTTCTGATATACTTTTAAAGGAAAACTTTAGTACTATGAATTGAATAATAAAAAAAGCATAAAATTCTGATTTTTGGTTAGCATATTAACTGATAATATTCAGAGAAAAGGAATAAAACCAAAGAACCCCTCATTGTCATCTTGCTCCTCACATACCATCTCTATGTACTGTAAATGTTAATTAACTATCCTGTACCCGCCAATATAAAAGAAGTATGTATCTCTCTGTTTTGCTTTTTATCCAATCCCAGAGATTCCCCTGCTCTGCTTTCTCTTGTCCTCTTAATCTACCACCAATGGATTTCATGTAACCCTCCTTACATCTTCTCCTTTGATTCTAATGTATAAAATAAGCTGCAAACTACCATTCTCTGGAGCATTTTCTCAGTCCATTGAGATTTTGCTTTGGGGCATGTCTTCAAAATTTGGTTCAAATAAACTCCTATAAAACTTTTCTATTGGCTGTACATTCTTTTGTCGATAATACTAAACAGACTTCTCTGACTAATAAAACAACTTATATAAAACAACAACAAAACAAAATAAATCCATGGAGAAGTTTAAGGATGTCATCGTAGATACACACAAAACCTGGCCTGCCAAATTCTGACAAAAACAACGATGACGACAACAACAACAACATCAACAACAACAACAACACTGAGTACAATCAGATTTTAAGACCCATGGCCATGGGGATAAGATCTGGCAAAACCAGGATGGCCACCTAGACACTAGATAAAATCTCCATGAAACAACTCATTCCAATGGAGATAAATAGGCTATAATATTAAACACTGAGGAAAATTTTCTTATGATAATGAAGGATGTGGTCAGTCCATGCTTTATCTGTAACTAAATTAACCTGGAAAAACTGTGGTACGTGAACTGAGAATAAGTCCTAAAAGACTCTCTGAGCATTTCCAAATTGATTTTATACAGTTGATTCTTCTTCTGTGGTTTATGACTATATACTATTAACAATAGTACATTTATTTTCAGAATGAGTCAAAATATTTCCCTGTTGAAAAAACCTTAACTATCATCACTGCCTCAGACATTCCAAATGATCAATTCTGTAACAAGGGATGCTTTTAACTTCAACAATTATTTATAAATTTTGATTCCATAAGGGTTTGCTCCTTATTCAAAAAATATTTTTGTCTTTATCATTCCCAAACCTCTAGAAAAATGAAAAGGGCCTTAACAGAACTGGAAGGGTTCATTCTTTCAAAATCTTAAACTGAGGTTCTCTAGAGAACCTCCAGAAGCAGACAGTCCACAGAATTAACTGTTAACCTAGAACCTTTGAACAAGTACATGTTCATATGAAGGAAGCGACTTCATCTTAAGACCAATGAACAAGATTTTTCTATATATTACACTCTTCTTTGTATACTCTTGTTTATTCATAGCTGTCTTCATCACTGATTTAGGGGTATATATGTCTGACTTGGCCTACCATGTTCTTCTTATTAGTAACAATAACTTGTCTAAGTACAGGTTTTAAGGAAAATGTGTTTAAACTATGAGAAATATAAAATGTAACAACTACTATTTGTTACAGCACCAAGAAATAATATACTTGCAGTTCCACTAAGGATAATTACATCTCTTGTGCAGCTTTTATGTAGAAATCAGACTATTTAATGCCAACCTAGCACCAAGGTTAATTATTTTCTACTGCTTTAGTTAGGCCATTCTAAGGACATGACTCCCCAATACCCTCAATGAGTTATATTTCCTTAAATCCACTCCAAAATAATAAAACATTTTTTAGAAAAAGATTCCTAAAGACAGTGAGCACATTCATAGCAGTTAGACTCCAGGTAGTCATAAAAAAAATTGTTCCTGGGGGGCACACAACAAACCAGCTTAAATTCCTTAACTCAAGCAGTTGACAGGTAATAAAAAAGACTTGATTTTCTTTTGACCAACCAGGGAGGAGTCTGCACCAATGCTAATACTATATGTTGTACCTGGATTAACACTACAAGTAAAATCATCTACAATTAATAAAAAGTGCTAACTACGAAAGGTTATACAAAGATTTAGGGAATCCTTGGGACTTTTCTTGGCCAAACTTGGAAAATTTAGGCTCATGATTTCTGGAGTATCCTTCAGCCCCTTCTTATAATATTCCTAGTTATACATGTTTGTTTCAGAGTTTAAATGTTATGCAGAGTCTTAAAATGCTTCTGTATAGTCCCAACAGATGACTTAAAGACAAAAACAGGATGAAATCATGATAAATACACAAACTGAAAATCAGATTACCACAGATGAAAGAAACCTCTTCTTCAAAGAGAATCAAGAACAGTTGTGAGTGAATCTTTGACAGTTTCTTCTACAGTTTTAGCTGTGTGAAAATCAAAAGGGGAGGCTAGGAACAAAACAGTTCCCACAAACTTATGGGGAAAAAAATCTGTTTTTCTATTGTCATGGTAACAAGTAGTCATTAGAACTGGTTTAAACTTGTTCAACTGATCTGCAATAACCCATCTTAATGAACAGTTTTGTAAGCCAACCAGTGTCAGCTCCTCACTTTTGAAAGTCAAGCAGTAAGGGACAGATTCATGTCAATAAATATATGGCTGAATGTCAAACAATCAAAAGTCTCATCTGAGGAACCATGCTTCCCTAAAATCCTATAAATAAAATGAGCATTCTGCTCTGCATGGAGAGAATATAACTAACCAGCATAACTCTGTATATATTTCTTTACCTTTTTAATTTTCAATGATGTGAATATATTACATATTCAATAAATGAATAAATAAACTTTAAATTTAAAGTCTTCTTTCAGAAATCCTTCTTGCCTATGGTATCAAAGGTCAATGACATCAGTAAATGCTATAAAATGTTTTAAATTGCTCTTTACTAATTTCTCTATTAAGTGAAAGTATGTGTAGCAGACACAATATTATTCATAGATTAGAAGCTGATTTTGCACCATGGTTAAAATGTGGGGTTCGCTGAATGTTAGCTAAAGTAGGATTATCCACATCCTATTACTAATAATGGCAAAAAAAATTAGTAAACTTTTCAGTAAACAGGTTTACGAGGGATTTTGAATGATGACAAAACTAGGAATGAAACCAAAGTCTCAATACACCCCCAATTTAAAATTTGTTGCTAGTGTTACCTTCCTAAGTTGATTTATTTATAGAAAGGATAGATGTTATTTTTAATTTTAAGAATATAAACAAATATATCATTATCTAATGTGTGGTCTGAAACTCTTAAATTCTTTATTTTTAAGCCTGACACGAAAATATAGAATTTAAGAAGGCCTAATTTTTATTATTCCTCTGGTTTATTACAAGTCTTATTCAACTTCTATACCTATCATGTTAATAAATAATAATGATAGCTAATACAAACACAGTGCTTTAAATGAGCCAAGCACTGTCCCAACTGTTTTACAAATATTAATCCAAAGACTATCCTTTGTCAAAAGATCAAAATTCCAGTTCTCATGCAGACACATTCCTCTTATTCTAAGAGAGGCTTTATTCTGTTAGGACAAAGAGTTTCCTTAAAGAAATGAGACTTTCGCAATTCAAATAGCTATCACCAATTAAGAAATATAATTTTTCAAATTATATTTTCCCCTGCATATCGTATGTTCAAATCCTTGGTTCCTGAATTATTAAAATATTGGTAGTAACTAAATTTCAGCTAAAAATAGAAACTCGCATAAACTGGCAGAAACATGCTATTGCACCCAGGATTCATTCATATACTGATGTTCAAGAATTTGAGTCTCTAATTCAAAAGTCATGTGTCAGTAAAATGTTCATGTACTTTAAATCCACTCCAAACTTTCTGATTGCTTTACCTCTGTCAATTCCAGAGCTTTATTGTAGCCCATTGAGTGCAGAGTTACCCAAAGATCACGAGGATCTCCTTCTCGATCATTGGCTTCCATTAGATTCAGATCCATAAAGCCCTGTCTTGTTAGTTCATTCTTCTTTGTACGAAAATTCTCTGTCAAAACAATCAAAAGTTCTTTTTTATGTAATTTTAAAATTCACACATTTTAAATTCCTATTATATATTATTCATAAGTATTTATTTTAAAGGAGGCCTCATGCATCTGTGAGCCTGTATAGACTTGGAATAAGAATGGCTCACAAAATGTTTGAGACATACTATTCTAATTTCCATAACTCAGCATAATAACCATCACAGTACATGATTTAGTTTTTCAACAAAGTCTTAAGTTATAAATAATAGATATATATTACAAAATTAGAGGAAATTGTATTTTCTTCTAGGTAAATTCCAACCTGTCTGCTTATGTAGAGTAGATACTGATTAATATTTCAAAAAAAATTAAAATGCTTCCTATATATTTGCCACTTAAACCCAGCAGAACCTGGATAAATTTAATGTAATACCCCCCAAACTACTGGTGTTTCAAAAAGGGAGATGGGGATGGTGCCAGATTTAAGGAGACTGCCATATGCCTAAATTATTATAATTTTAACCAAATTGTCGCCTAGTCTTTAAAATCTGTTAGATAATATAGGAAAGACTTTGGAGTTCGTAAATGTCTCAGACAAATCTAAGTATGTCCATTTTAATATTATTTGTAAGCAAAGCTAAATTCAACTAGAAGTATCTAAATATGTATAATTCCTGAATTTGTCTATAATATAGATAATAAACAGGTACTCATTATGGATTATATTCTCTTAATTGCCCTAAAACAAGAAAGATTGCATTTTCCAACTCTGTTAATTGCCCTAAAACAAGAAAGATTCCATTTTCCAACTCCCAGCTATAATATACCCAAGGGAAGTGGGTATTCTTATGTGAGAAGAACAGCAGAGACATAACTGTTTAAAACTGGTTGACTAAATTAACAGTTTAAAATATTTAGAGTCTGAAAAGTGACTCAACTTTTGCAAGTAAAAAAATGTAAAGATTAAATTAGATCATAGAATTGGTAGCCACTAAAATGGAGGATGGAACTACTATGTAGTAAAGCAAAATGAAAAAAATTAATATTTGATATGTAATACAAAGCAATTATAACTTTCAAGAAAAATGTATCTACCGTACTATAGAGTATCAATAATTAGTCTACTGTTAAAACTTAAAATTCTCAATCCTCCAATAATTTTTTTTAAGTTTATTAATACCCGACTTCAAGACTTACTTTAAAGTAATCAATCTAGTGTGATACTGGGAAAAGATTAGACAAATAGATCAGTGGAACAGAACAGAAAGCTTAGAAATAGACATATACAAATATATTAACTCATATTTGACAAAAGAGCAAAGTCAATTCAATGGAGAAAGAACAGTCTTTCAACAAATGGTGCTGGAACAACTGGACATCCACATGCAAAAAAAATTAATCTAGACAAGAACATTACATCTTTCACAAAAATTAACTTGAATGGGTCATGGACTCAAAACATAAATCTATAAAACTTCAAGGTAACAAGAGAAAATGTGGTGACCTATGAGTTTTTAGATACAACGCCAAAAACATGATCCATAAAATAAAAACTTGATAAGTGGGACTTCATTAAAATTGAAAACTTCTGCTCTGTGAAAGTCAATATTAAGAGAATGAAAAGAAAAGCCACAGACTGAGAGAAAATACTTGCAAAACGCACAACTGATAAAGAATTGTAATGAATATATACAAAGAACTCAACAATAAGAAAACAAACATCTCAATCGAAAAATGGGCAAAAGATATGAACAGACTTTTCACCAAAGAAGATATACAGATGGTAAATAAATATATGGAAAGATGCTTGATGTCATATTTCATTAAAGAATTGCAAAGTTAAACAATGAAATGTTACTACACATCAAACATGGATGGACCTCGAGATAATCATGCTAAATGAAATAAGCCAGACAGAAAAAGTTGAAAATCACATGATATCACATGTGGGACATAAACCTAAAAGCAATAAATGAACAGGACAAACAAACAGAGACTCATGGACATGGACTATAGACTAGTGGTTTACTAGAGGGTAAGGGGTAAGGAGAGGGTGGAGGTAGACAGGGTAAAAGGGGTCAAATATATGGTGACAGAAAGAAATCTAACTATGGGAGGTGAACACACAGTGTAAATATATTTACACATATATATGTGTGTGTGTATATATATTTACACTGTGTGTTAATATATATATACACACACACACACACATATATATATATATATGCCTTATTGTTAAAGAATATAGCTGAAACTTATTGGATTTCATTAACCAATGTCACCAAAAAAAATTATAACTATAAATATATATATAAAAACAAAGTTAAATGTAGTTTTACTGTACCATTCAGCAATCACTGAATTGAAATGACCTAAATGAGTTGAAAACTATGCACACACAAAACTATGCACATGAGTGTTTATAACAGTTCATAATTGCCAAAACTTGTAAGCAATCATGATGTCCTTTAATAGGAGAATGAATAAACAAAATGTGGTATCTTCATATGATGGAATATTATTCAGCACTAAGAAGAAATGAGTTATCAAGCCAAGAAAAGACATGGAAGAAACATAAATGTATATTGCTAAGTAAAAGAAGCTGGTCTGAAAAAGTTATGTACTGTATGATATTCTAACACAGAATTAATGTGTAGAAGTGTTTCCACCTGGTACATGGTAAATTCTCAAAAAATGTTAACTATCAACTCTACTATGTTGATTAAATTGTTAAATTAAAATTTTATTTATCAACAACTTTACCATAAGAAAATACTAATTATCGTCATTCTTATGGAATGTGCTCTAGTGTTAACAATAGAGAATCAAAAGATTATATCACTGAAGTTATAAGATTATTTTATCTTCCTCAAAATAATACTCCATTACGTGTATTATGAATCCTGTCAATTGAAGTTTAATATTATAAATCAATACACATTTCTTATTATTGATTATGCTATATAAACTTTCAGTTAAAAAGAGATGTATTATTAAAAACCATTATAATAATAATAATATTTCTACCTTACTTGTTGTTCAGATAAACATACGTATCAGACTTCCACCTAGCTCATGGACTTTGCCAAGCTTAGACCTTTTTAAGAACCAGAGCAGGACACATACTACCCCAGTGAAAGCAATATGAGAATTAACCTTTCTCTTCACTGCATTCTGGCCTCCTCAAACTTCTTGTTGTGTGACCTAGGGTTGGCTATGGCTTTTTGGTTTCCCTTTTGATCTTTCAGTTCCTGCTTAAATACAAAGCCCTAACTTATTCCCAGACTGCACCTAAGCGACAACTGCTTTCGCCTCGTTCTCAGTATTTTTCTTGCCCATCTTGGTACTTTTGGCTTCCATACCTCTATGAATGACCTTTCTTAATTCAATTTAAATTAAAAAAAGGAAGAATTCTTAATAGGTATAAAAAACTTCTTGGAAACTTTTAATTTTTAGTAAACTCTAGCTTATTAGCTCTTTGCTGCCCTCTCCTGGACACAGTTAGGGGCTCTTGACCACTTCAGTCCCATTGATAACCAAGAGCTAGGGCAAAGTTTTTACATCCTAAGCTCCAAAGAGCATAAACTGAAAATAAAATTTCACTTAAGTACTATGATTCATATTTTCTTTTAACTTGAGTATTGTACCAACTATCAATTTAAGGAAATAAATGTTGAAGTTTTTATGATCTACAAACAATGCTACTATTTCTAAATGGTCCTAATTGCTATAATAATATTCCATAGTGAAGTTTGACATTTTACTTCATGAGGATGAGAGGGGGCTATATATATTTTTTACATATCTATTAAGAAAAAGAAAAGCGTTTACCTCTGCAGACAGCCCAAGCATCTTCATCACATTTCTCACCACTTGTTCTCAATTCAAAAAAATTATATTCTTCAAGGCTAAGAAGACCATTTCCATCTAAATCAATTACTTCAAATATATCTGATAAAGTTGATCTAAAATTATAAAAATCGCAATTATTTCTTGTCTCCAAGGTAACTGAAGGTTTCTATGAAGATAACTTTCAAAAGAAAGCAATATCAAGGCATTGAACCATATTAGTGAACTATAAAGTTAATGTATCCAAATATATCTTTTACTCAGTCTAGTATTACATGAGATAAAGAAGCTTCTAAAGCAACTACAGTATCTCAAACTGTAGCTGGACCTCAAAGAATGGTAGGTCCCTTCTTTTTTCCTTTCTCTAATCTACTTTCTTCTTCCTCTCTACCAGATGTTGTTGTGTATATCTAGGGCACAGGAGAACTATTTAAGTGCTCATATTTCATATTTGACTGTAATCTAAGTCAATAGTGCAACTAGCAGGATCTATTTTAAGGTAGTACCTACTGGGAGAGAAATTGGTAGATATGTGACTAAAGTTGACTTGCTAAATGTGTGGAACCCACAAATGAATGGAAATCTCAGGCCCATGAATGGAAGGTCACTTTCAGATGCCTAGTGAAAAAGTTGAATTACTGAATTGGAATATGGGAGTAGAGTGGTGGCTAGCCAAAAGAAAGCATGGAAGACAGGCTACTAGTATACAGATCCAGTCTAGACGTCATTGTTTTAACTAACCTTAAGAAACAAAACTTACCTAAATTCCTTTGTAAGGAATAATTCTCCTGTTTCATCTCTATACACAAGCTGGGCTTCTTCTGTTATTGGTTTTATTTCTTTCCTCAGCCAACAGCCAGTTGTGGAAGGAATTAACCAATAAATTCCAGGTCCTAGTTCACCAGTCCACCCAAAAACCTTTTCTCGAAAGAATTGGAAAAAAAACAAAAACAAAAACAAAAACCCCACCGTGAGCTTAATGACTTTTTTCCAATTACAGCTGAGCTTCATGACTTTTAATTTTCCTTCTGGGGAAAAAAAAGCATTAGAAATAATTTTTAAATCAATGTTCACCAATTCTATTATGATTCTATCAATCTTTCACAGGCTTCAAAAATTTTTTTAATGGTAACGCCAGTACAAGACCATTAAATGTAGATATATATATATACACATACATTTTTAATTCTCCAAACTATAAAAGGTGAGAAGTTATATAACTTCTAAATCTTCCCTAATAATCTTGAAAAAATGTTTGTGATGTAAATATCTTCCACAGAAAGCAAAGACAGATCTTATAATAACTTTTCCAGGTAACAGTTCCCTAATTTGATTCAAATATATAATCTGTAAATCAGATTTCAATGACACTAAATAAAAATGAAATAAATTTAATTAAGAGTTCACTATTTCTATAAATTAGCCATATCTGTAAGAATCCAATTATGTACACAAAAGCAGTAGAATTTTACTTCTACTCATGTAATATGAACTGTAAAACAAGATGGCAGAATCTCAGATAAAACTACCTTATACAAAATTATTTTCCATCACAAGATATTTATATTAAGTGCCAGGACATTTGTATAGGAAAACATTTTAGTCTCCTCTTTTATAAAAGAAAGCAAAATGGTATCTCTCTATGGACCTTCTAGGTGCTTTCTGGAGCCCAGTGGCTTCCTATAAAACCTAGGGGTTGTCTCTGTCAAATATATTAAATCTAAACATTTTTTAGTCATGTATAATAGTTAAGCAAACAGCTATTTGCCCTTCAGCACGGAATAGCCCTAAGGACTTCTCTCTTTCAAAAACTTTAAAAACCCAGGTATATTTTAGGTCATCCTGGGTACTCACATACAAAATAAAGTTGCTCATCTGAATTCTGGGTTTTGCCCTATTTCTGTGCTCACAAATCAGAGGGACCATAATCATCCTAAAGTGATCATGTCCTATTTTGATACAAAAAGCAATTCAATAAAGCTGAGGGTCATTTTGAAGGCTAGAGATTGACCAAACCCATTCTTTGGAAGCCATGATCTCTTAGATTAGCCAGATGTAGACTAGTACCCAGGAGTGAAAAGCAGTTTTTGCTGCTCCCTAATATACGCTGTCTCATGAACCTCCCTTATTGCCACATAATAACCTTGAACTGCCACTGTGGATGGCAAATGGAAAGTCTTTCATGGACACAAAACTCTTCTTAAAGAAAATAATTGTGAAACTAAAATAAAAGGTAAAAAATCCTTTGTAAATATGACATATTACAGAAAACCAGAAGCCTATATAGTAAAGAAGTAAATAGAAACTCATTCAAACTTTATTACAGGCTTGCTATGTACTAAGATTTTTACACATGCAATCTCATAAGAAAGTAATTTCATCCAAAACAAAATGGGAAAAGCTATTGTTTTAGACAATGCTTTATCTTGAACTTAACTTTGTAGTCAGTTCTGAAGAAGAGTTTAGTCAAAACATTAACTTCTGTCATTTTATTTGTTTCTTGCCTATAACTATTCTTGTCTGTTACGAAGCCTACAATAAAGACTTTTATATAACATTCCATCAGGGAAATGTTTGTCTGTCATTGGACCTATGTAAAGATTAAATATGATATTGCAGTAAGCCCTTGAATAGTATTATTCCTGTTGTGTAGCAGATGTATTTTGTAGTCCTCATAAAATAAATAGCCACATTTATGTATCTGCCTCACATATTCAGCCTCTGAGTAAATATATAATTAGAAAAAAATCAGAGCAACCCCATGGGCAACATATAAAACCATTTAAAAGCATTTCTTCAGAACAATCAATTTTGAACCCTATAATATGAGTCAAGCCTGAGGACAGTAATCTTGAAGTTTTTCTTTTTTGCAGTGGTAGTATAAGTAAGACAAACATCTAAAGCAACTTTTCTAGAGTCTTGAATTGCTTGTATCTAGGGGGAAAAAGTCCACTGGTATCAACCATTTTTATAGAGTATAACAAAAAATGTTCACATGTGAGGCATTAGGGCATTTAGAGAAGAGGAAAGTGAAGTACAATGTCACACAACCTACAATTTATGAAGCTAAGACTGCCAATCAATCTTCAATTCTTAAATCTCAGCAAACAAGAAAAAGTCTTTCACAATTAATAAAACATATATGATATGCCTAGTATTGTATATACCTAAACTGAAAGATACATAAGTTAAAAAAAATAAAATATAGAAAACTACTATTTTCCTCAGACTTGAATTCATACTACGTTTTTATATTAGACATTAGAAAATAAATATGTATACTTCTCTATTTCGTAGTTCAGTGAAACATATGAGCTGGAGATTTGCCTGACTCTCATTTTCCTTAAGAATATACAAGGCAGTATCGACCGATAACCACGGGGATGGTTTTCCTATAAACAAAAAACCCAAAATCTTAAAATAAGCAATCACTACTTACTCTTTCCTATATAAAAAAGAAGTTAACAGTTTCTTCAGCCTTTAGGTTTTTTTTTAAAATACACATTCTATTTTTATATGTAAACATCACAGCATTTGTAACTTATCAGGGAGCTAAGGTTACAGGGCAATCAAGTAGCTTAATATTCAAGAAAAACAAAATCTTTTAAGACAGGATGCAGCACTGGCTTATCTGTGGAGGAGCAGAGGAGGAAGAGATGTCAGAAACCATCTATGTGCTGAGAACTCCAAAATTTGTATCTCAGCTAGAACCTTTCCAGAATATAAATTCATAAGGGCAGGGATTTTTGTCTCTTTTGTACTCTTATATATCCTAAGCACCTTAGTATATAAGGCCCTCAATAAATACTTGATAAATAATAAATACAGGAATCTTTTTTGTAAGAATATGGAGAATTAACAACCACACTGATTTTGCAGACCTAACATTAGACCCATGTAACCAACTGCTTATCTGACATTTCCACTTGGATTTCTATGTCTAAAACTGACCTTCCCCACCCCCTTTAAAAAAAAACTGTCCATCTATCCTCTTCTCTATCTCAGTTAACAGTAACTCATTCCTTTCAGTGGCTCAAGCCAAAAATCTCTGAATCATCTTTGACTCTTCTTCTTTCACATATCACAATCGATCCTCAAGAAATCCTATGGTTCAACCTTCAATATATGTCCAGAATCTCTACTTCTTATCCTCTCTATACCCCAGTTCAAAGCATCATCAGTCTCTTCCTAGAATTCTGCAATAGCATACTAGTTGGTGTCCTTCCTTTCTCCTGGGCACCCTTCAGTCTATTTTCAATACAGTCTATTTTCAATAATCAGATTATGTCCTGTCTCTACTCAATATCTTCTCATGGAGTTGAGAGTTGAAAAAATGCTTCTCCTACACTAACAATAAGAAAAAGTGCACGAACTACAAAATCATAACTTTTTTTGAACCTATCAGAGCTGAGGTCACAGGACAACCAAGTAGCCTGAAAACCAAGGAAAGACAGACCTTTCCAAGGAGAGATGAGAAACAAGCACCGGCTTATTTGTGTAAAACACAGAGGGCTAAGATGTCAAGCATCATACAAGTGGAAAAAGGAGAGGGCAGAGATATATTTGAAGAAATAAAGGTGGAAATTTTTCTAAAAGTAATGAAAGACAACAAGCCATAAATCCAAGAAGCTCAGAGAGTCCCCAGCAGGATAAACACCAAACCAAACCGAACCAAACCAAACCAAACCAAATCAAACATACAAACAGCATTAACAAGAAAAAATATACACACACACACACAGAGACACAGACACATATTCAAACAGTTGAAAATCAAAGATAAAATCTTGATGATAGCCATGGAAAATATCCTTCTAAAGATTCCTCATTTTTCTCAGAGTAAAAGCCTAAGTCTTCATTACGGTAAAAATAAAAACAACAAACTCTACTTGATTTTGTCCTTGTTCCTCCATCTTCATCTACTACTCTCTGCTTACTTCGTTGTACCACTCTAGCCACCTTACTGTTCTAAAACCAGGTACATTCTCACCTCCTCCACTCTTCACCCTTCCACCACCCCTACATCCACAAAGCATACTTCCTTGTCTTCTGTGAAAGACAGCAAAAATGGCTATCCCTGTCTGTATCCACAGCCCTTTGTAATGTGACTTTGCAGGTCCTCCATCAAGAAGTCAAGTCTATTTCTTCACCTTATAAATCTGGACTTGTCTTGTGACATGCTGTGAACAACAGAATGTACCAGAAGTAATGTGCCAGTTCTGAGCCCAGGCCTCAGAAGGTCCTGTGGTACTTCTGCTTTCTATTGCAGATCTCTGTACACCATAAGAACATGTCCAGGCTAATTTACTAGAGGATAAGAGATTATATGAGGCAAAGTCAAGCTGTCCTAGCTGAGACCCCATACAGAGTAGAGAGCACAGCTAAAATCAGTAAAACCAGATACCAGCTAATCTGCAACTGACCCTGGATGCATGAGAGAGCCCTACAGAGAAAAGCCAAGCCCAACTGAGACCAAAAGAACTGTCCAGCAAACCAGCTCATAGGTACACAAATGTTTAATTGTTTTAAGCCACTGAGTTTTGGGGTCGTTTGTTATGTAACAGTTGATAATGATATACTTCTTTCAGCCTTTGCTCAAATGTCAATTTGTTATTGAAGTACACACTAACCACATTTCAGTGACAACCCTTATTTCCTCAGCATTCACAATGTCCCTTTCCCTTTATGTTTTTCCCATAGCACGTAACACCTTCTAACATACCATGTCATTTACTATTTATTATTTTTATCATTATTTCCTCCCACCAGAATGTAAATTCATAAGGGCAGGGATTTTCGTCTCTTTTGTACTCTTATATATCCTAAGCACCTTAGTATATAAGGCCCTCAATAAATACTTGATAAATAATAAATATAGGAATCTTTTTTGTAAGAATATGGAGAATTAACAACCACACTGAATCTGCAGACCTAACTTTATACCTTTATCTGAAAAATGACTATTGTAATTGTTATTTAAAAGTATCAACTACCAAATGTTGTAAGTATCCTACAAGATATACAGTGAAAACTTTCAGAATCTCTACTTTAGAAGGAAAGAAATAGAAATGGAGAAGAACCCTCTAGGAAGAAAATATTTATATGCAAACATAATAAAAGAAAATAAAGATTGATATTTAGATCAATCATCATTAAAACGTACCCAGGGAAGGCACCCTTATAGACATTTTTCACTAATTAAAAATTACATGATAGCCATTTTAGGAACTATGAAATGACCAATTTTTATCTAGTATTTGTGTACAAAAAAAGACTATTACCATAAATGCAAAGATGATTAATAAGGATTGTCTAAGTCATATGACATAGAACTTGAAGGTATTCGAAAATATTTGTAGTTCATATTGTCTTAAATTATGTTCCAACAGAACTTCTATTAAACATATTAATTTTAAAAACTGATAAATGGCAAAAAGCTAAGGATTAATTAGCAAATGAAAAGTTAATTCTATGTTATAAAGACACCATGTAACATTTTGTCCTTGTTTTTAAATGAATTAAAACATGCTTTAAACTACACAAGAAGCAGTTTAGCTGCTTTGCAAAATATGATAACGCAGTCAATGTATAAACTAACTCTTTCTTTAAATGTACATAATCACATTTCTTAGGCAGATTATTTTCTTCACTAAATAGGACTATCAAATATATAAGTATTTTCAAAGAAGGCATAAATTGATATCTTTAAATATACAGAAAATTTAAACTTACCTTCAACTTGACTCAAGTTTAATGGCTTAATTGTTAGATAAACAATGGATCTCTGAGCTATTTGCATCCTGTAGTGATGACTAATGATTTCACCATCTTCTTCTAAGAAAAAGCAACCTTTTGATTGTACACATTGCCACTCCTGACATAAAGAAAATAAATTATTTTCAAATGATGTTTATTATATGTTTCCAGCATGCATAGCAATGAGGAAAACCTTGAGGAGGATATAAAAAAAATGTCAAATAGAGCCACTGACTTCCAGGAATTTGTAAAGTAATTGAGAGGTAAAAAAAGACATGACACAATTCAATTATTACTGATAGTAGTATATAGTTAGAATGAAAAAAGAATTATATATTCAAAATAATATTATAATTTCAGTACCTAAAACAGTGCCTGGAACATTGTAGGTGCTCAATAAATGTTTGTGTGACTGATGTCGGGGGTGGGGGATCCATATAAACTCAGAGGGCATTCCATGAACTGTATCTTGAAGGATCAGCAGAATTTAGATATTGAAAAGTTAGGAAAAAACATAATGAAGAGAAGAAATAAGAAAAATAAAGTTCATGAGAGTGGAGGAAGTACTGAAACAAAGTGATAAACATGATGCTGCAATAATCAGAGTGAGAGTAGTTTTTGGAGCATAGTAAAATTGAAGGACTGCTAAAACTGATATGTTGAAAGAAAAAGTGATAGGACTTTGCATTTAAAAAATAAAGTATGTGACAACCAAAATAATCGTTTCAAGTCTAGGTAACTAAAAGAACACTGAATAAGTCTCACAGATATAACAAAATGATAAGGATCAGTTTTGAGGAAGACCTTTCTTTAAGATTCGCTCTGTTATCTCTTGGTCTAGCCAAATCCCTTCCTCTGCTCCAAACTAATGTGTCTATTTGGGATTTCACAACTAGAATTAAGTATAACTTGAAGATGTACCTTATCTAGAAAGTAAAAAATTCTGTATTGAACGTACGAGAAATTGTGCCATTACCACAGATGCATGCAAAAATGCTTTTCACTTTATCATTAGTTGGTTTACCTATCTATACTGTAACATAAATTTCTATTCTACTGCTAATGACTTCCAAAAATATTAATGAGGTTTTGAAGTTACTTTACAAAGAATGGTTTTGAAAAATTATCTGTAAAGATATTTAAACAATAGGTTCAAGTCTTTAATAATATTAAGATAACTGCTGAAAAGGTGTGTATTTGCTGTATAACAATAATATAAAAATATTATTAAGCCATTATAGATTTACATGGCACTGAAAAGATAAGAACAAACATAATTTACATCAAGACTGATTTCTCACTCACTTTTTTAAAGGCTAAATTATCCTAACGTACTTAAATATAATTTTTCTATTATATAAATCATAATTATTTTCATATTTTATATTATTTTCTTATTATCAAATACATTTTAAGTTAGAAATTTAAAAATAGGAGAAAATCCTCACAGTTCTACCAACATAGTTTGATTTTTATGTAATGTTTCCTAATATTGGCTTATATAAAAAACTATTTTTTATATTCTATTTAACACTATTTTATATTCTGCCTTTTCATTTAATGCTATATCTCAAACATTTTGCTATTGAAAAAGTAGCACAAAGTTGGAGGACTTATACATCCTGATTTCAATATCTACTACAAAGCTACAGTAATTAAAACAGTTTGGTATCGGCATAAAGACATATATAGAGAGAGACCAGAATAGAACAGAGAGCACAGAAATAAAGCCTAACATTTTTGGCCAAATGATTTTCAACAGGAGTGCCAAGACCATTCAATAAGGAAAGGATGGTCTTTTCAACAAATGGGGCTGGAAAACTGGATATCCACATACAAAATAATTAATGTGGACCCTTACCTGACACCGTATACAAAAATTAACACAAAATGGGTCAAAGATCTAAATGTAAGTACTAAAACTATAAAACTCTGAGAAGAAAACTTAGAGAGGAAGGCTTCATGACACTGCATTTGGCAATGAATATGACACTAAAAGCACAGACAACAAAACAAAATATAAACTGGAGTTCATCAAAATTAAAAATGTTTGTGTATCAAAGGACATGATCAACGTAGTGAAAAGTCAACCCGATAGAATAGGAAAATATACTTGCAAATCATGTATCTGAAAATGGCTTAATACCTAGAACATATTAAAAATTCCCACAATTCAACAACACAAACCCAATAAGGAATGTCATAGAACTTGAATAGACTATGAAATTCACAGAACTTGAATTTCTCCAAAGAAGATATATTGATGGCCAAAAAGCACAAGAAAAAAGTTCAACATTACATCATTAGGGAAATGTAAATCAGAAGCACAATGAGATACCACTTCATACCCACTAGGATGGCTATAACAAAAACAAAAACAGAAAATAAAAATGCTGACAAGGTTGTGGAGCAATTGGAACCCTTGTGCATTCCTGGCAGGAATGTAAGGTGTGAAGCCATTGTAAAAAAGTTTAGCAGTTTTCCAAAACATTAAACATAGAATTACCATATGATCCAGCAATTCCACTTCCGGGAACATATTCAAAAGAACTGAAAGCAGAGACTCAAACAGATATTTGTACATCCACCTTCATAGCAGCATTGTTCATAATAGCCAAAAAGTAGAAAGAATCCAATTGTCCATTGATGGATGAATGGGTAAACAAGATGTGGCATATATATATATATTTCATTGTGTGTGTGCGTGTATATAAGGGAAAGAAATTCTGACACATGCGGCACATGGATGAACCTTGAGGGCATCATGCTAACTGAAATAAGCCAGACACAAAAGGACAAATATCGTATGATTCCACTTATATGAGATAGATAGAGTAGTTAAATCCAGAGATGGATGGTGGTGATAGTTGCACAACATAAACGTATTTAATGCCACAAATTACATACCTAGAAATGGTTAAGATGTTAAATTTTGTATATCTTACCACAATAAAAAAAAGCTTTGCTAAGCAATATTCAAATTTTCAATTTAACTGATTCTGTAATTACCCATTGAGTTGGTATACCATTACTTTAACTATTTCTAGAATGTTGAACATTTAGGTTATTTCAAATTTCTCATCAGTATAGATAGTGCTGAAATAAATACTATTTTATCTAAATGTTTTTCTTCTAATGAATAATATCCTGCAGAAGGACTTCTAGGCAAAAAAGTATTTATAATAGAAATATATTCCAAAATTAGAGGCTAATGATGTGTTCTCATATTGCTTTGAAAACAGTGATGCTAATTTTATACCACCAATTGTGTATAATGTAGTAACTTTGTCATTACCATAATTTGGTTAGTAGTGTTATCATTTAAAAAACTGCATGGTAGTGAGGGATGATTTCTTAAGCAAGGTGTGGGCATACAAAATATTCATTATAGTATTTCATACATTTACATGGTATTGTAATGCTTTTGCATTAAACTATATTAATGCAATAAAAATGGTATAATAAAATGGTATTGTAATAATTTTTGCATAACTTTGAATTTTCAGATTACTAGCAAGGCTGACCATTTCCCCATGTGTTTGTTATTTTGTTTCCTTTTTGTGTGAACAGCCTATTCATCTTCTATTCTCATAGCTCTATTGAAGATGTTTTTTTTTCTTACATATTTTAATAAATTCTTTTGACTATTTTAGATATTAACCTCCCTTTGTAAGCTTTATTGCATGTATTTTCTCTATTTCCTTTTATTTTAGTTTTGGTTCTTTTTCAACTTATTTTAGTTTTCCATTTTTATATTCATCTTTTCTTTAGAGATTTCATCTTAAACTGAATTTTAAGAAATTACCATTATTGCTGAACTATTACTCAAGCTTTCTAGTCAGTCATTAATCACATTCACTGTCACACCTTTGGGGTATAAAAGATATGTGTACTTTTAATTCTGAGAAATTAAAATGTGACCTTAAATTATTGGAATTCATCTTCATAAGTATATAGCCCATGACAGAAACAAGTCATTATAAATGATATTTTAACAACATCCCTATGAGGCAATATGGGGTAGATATAAATTAGTCATTTTAATAAACAGAGAAATTGAGGTACCCAGAGGTTATACTGGTTCAGACTTTTAGAAGGAGTTTGTAGAAATATCAGGTCTAGAGTCTGAGACTTTGGGATCAATGCTTTTACCATTAGATCATGTTTCCAAAAGAAAATATACTCAGGGTACTAAATTAAAATTTTCTATAACACAATGAGGTTTAAATTTGCGCTCGAGCCAAAAGTTCAACTATTAATGATGAGTGAGAGTATGTACATAGTTTCAGTTAGCCTTCCTGTAAATCTCTTGGATGGGAATACATTATGGACTAATAATAGATGCTGACGTTACCTCAAAGCCAATTGGCCTTGATATAATCAACCTTGGATGGTGAGGGCTGCTACAGATAAAAAAGGAAAGATGTACTCATATTTAGGTGTTACCCTTTGAGACAGTTTGAACTAAGATTCTGACATCAAACGAAAAACATTTGTTTTCCTTTCAATTGATTTTTAGTGTTATGAGACGAAATTTCATATAATATATTTTATGAATATATTTTTTATATGTATCCATCTGGAATGGTAAGGGATACTAGTTTAGAATTACTGAATATTAAAGGTAGAAGAAGTCTAAAATGCAGTCTGGTCCAGACTTCTCTTTTGACTGACGAAAGTGTGAAAAATAAAGTGATAGGCTTGAGTTATAATTCTCGTTGACTGCAGAACCAAAGCTGAAACCTAGGTCTCCTTACTTTCTCTCCAAACTACAAGTTATATTCAAAATTATGTTCTTTTTTCATACTTAAATATCTGCCATAATTTTTTAAAAAGTAGTACTTAAAAAACTTTAGGTTTAGAATTATTATATTAAAGTATGATAAAGCTTTATCATTTGGAATTATCCATATATTGAAGCGTTAAGATAAAGAAATGATTTGGTTTTCTTACTTTAAAAATGTAGATTTTAGTAGCGGGAAAATTTGTTAAATTTGTACTGTAATCATGAGTGTAGCAGCCTATTCTCTTCTTTAAAATGTTTAAATGAAACTGAAAAATAATACACTTTGCCAGGTACACCGGTAGTGAACATAATTTGTGGCATTTGGGAAACTCAAAGATGGAAAAATTTTTCCATGTGCTTATAGTACTTCTGGGGGCGGTGTCATGACCTGACAGGAGATGCCTTTATAAAATTTAGCTGGGAAGTGAGTTAAACATTTTATCAGTGGTATTTCCTAAGTTCTAATTTTAGAAAAGGTACACGTAAAATGGAATTTATAAGTTTCTTTGGAAAGACATCCAACCCGTACATTACAATACATGGTTAATAGGCTGGAAAATGGTAGGTCACCAGCTATTATAAAATAGGAGACAAATGCTACATTATTTATATCAACCAAACTTCAAGTAATAATCAGATTATTTTGAATACTAAATAAGAGTACTAGAAAAATTTGTAGCTCTCCTGTTTAAAAGGAAGCATTCAAATTCTTAAGATCTGCCAGAGTTATTAAAAACACAATGCTTATTCAAACTAAATTTCCTTTAAAACAGACTTTCAATCACACGAAGCTTTTTCTCTAGGACCTAGACTGAAATGTTAATTAAAAAAAAAAAAGTACTGACAAATTGGCTGGTTCATTCAAATAAATCAATTCAAAAGGACTATAGATTAAGTTGACAGTTTGAGTTTTATGAGAGAAATGGAAGAAGGTTGAGTTAAAAAATTTTTAGAATGATAGACTAAGAAATTCCATGTATAACATAATTTTTTGAAAACATAAAGCAAAAATAAAATAGTAGCTTGTAATTCTTACATAGGGCATAAGGTGGTGCTATTTTCTACTGATTCTGGAAAATTCACAGAAAAGGAAAAAAGAAATGTTAATACATTTATTTGTCATATACAAATTTTACTTATTTTCATTCACAATGTATAAGAAAATACCAAAAAGCACAAATTAAAAATAGTAAAGTTGAAAATTTTAGCAATCAAAAAACTTACATATATCAGTAAAGCAACATTTTCTTAAAACACCTCAGAGAACATGATTTGTTTTGACAAAAAATTCTGTATTATTATTAAAGTTTTAAGTAAGATAGAATTACTATGCAGTAGATCTGCCACAGATTCATAGGAAGATCTTATACATCATAATCACTATCATCACTGTTGGTTTTGATAAAGATACCTTATGTCATATATTTTAGAAAGCTATTTGCTTTTCATTAAGACAAGTAGGTAAATAGTTATTGAACTTTTTATTATTAAAGAATTATAAACTATTCATACTTAAAAACAAAAGGTTAAATAAATGATTTATAAAGGGAAAATTGATATGGAGTGTCACCTAATTGACAAGTTGAATTGATCAACATTTTGAAAATATGAGAAACTTTTGTAATAAAATTATTATTTGGAGTCTTCACAAAAATTAAGTTAGACAACCATTTCAAGTTTAAAATGTTTATATTTGTATTGTACATATAGACATACATAATATGTCAAATAACATTCACGTACACCATATATAATGTTGTATAACACGTTTATGTTATATAATACATACATTTATGTACATACATACATATATGTAAAATATATTTATAGGCACATTCTAATTAGGAGTCTGAATATAGGAAGTATTGCATCTTTGGAGCATACAATTCATGATTTGGGGCTTTCTCTAATTCTAGTCATGACTGGTAACTAAAGCTATTCCTCTCTCAAAGAAAAAAAAATCCTTCTTGTACAATATAAAACCTAAGCAAATGGACAGAATACAGGATTAAAAAAAGAATAGTGATACAGTACCTATGTATGGTCTATAGAATGTAATACATGTATAATCCCTATAAGGGTCTTATTTTCCTCCTGTAATTCAGGTCCTTTTCCAATTGTGTGAATTTACAATTTAAAATCTGGCTTATACATACCCTATTACAACAACAATTTTCTAATTTCTAAAAGACCCTTCTTCTCCCAATTCCATACCTCTCCACTCCACATGAAATTGAAATGCCCAAATTTGTTTAAAATAGATTTAAGGTATTTGAAGAAAATTAATTTAATAATTCTTTAAGTAACTTATTCTATCAACCTCAATAACTACACTAATAACCACGTACTTATCAGAGTTGTTATGAAAGTTAACATATAAAATTTATAAAGTAATTTCAAAGAAAAATGCAAAGAACCAAATTTTTTTTAAAGGTCACAGAATTTTTAAAAAATCACTTTAGCTCATCTAAAAAATATCAGATAGTGAACAACAGTGGGCAATATCAAGATCAGAAATAAGATATAAAAAGTCAGGTAAGTAATATGAAGGCTATGAAGTATTTCCAAAAGACATTAAGTTTTATGTCATTGAATTTAAAAGTTGACAGTATGCCATCTTCTTTTAATCCTTAAATTCTCCTAGTATCTTTTACCTACTTTCCAATTATTAAGAGCACCACTCCCTGCTCTTAGGTACAAAACTTAAGTAGTCTTTTGTTATACAATCACTATGGCCTACAGACTAATTTTGGCACTGTTAGATTTGTCTCTTCCCTATTATGTTTAGGTACTTCCCTAGGCCTAGCTATCATCACTTTATATCTGGATAACTCTATCTGCCTCTCAGATATTCTTCCTAATTTGAGATATCTGTACACTATACACAATAGATTAACTTTCTTAAATTATAATTTCATCATGAAATTTCCATATAAAGACCTATAGTCAGTTCTATTATAATATTAACACTATTTATTAAAGTGAATTCTATGTCCCTGATTGAATCTTTCAAAAACATACTAAATATAACTATTTGCAATCTATAAGTTAAGGAAACTGAGACTCAGAAAGGCTGCTGACTAAATTCCTAAAGATCACACAGTTACTAAGTGACAAAGCTAAGATTCAACCACAGGTCTGTCTCTATCCAAAGCTCTTAGTTACGACAGGGCTTGGCACAGAGTAGTCAATGAATAGTTGTTAAACAAATAAATGAATAAATACTATGCTATACTACTTCGATGTATCAATAATCAAATAAAAATTTTTATTTTTTAATTCAAGGCTAATATTTTATAACTAAGCAAAATAGCTGGCATACATTACCTTTTTAGTAAATAGTTGTTGAGTAAAACTAAATTAGAGGAATTTTATTGGTAGGGGCACAATTAACACGAGCATGACACAGACAAAAAGTCTTATTATGGCTTTAATATAATCCATATTAATATTTATTTATATCTCTCCTTATACTAGCTAAACATATTTATTTGAATCAGGTAAACCACAATTATTTAATGAAGTTAAATTTTATTAACATCTAATTTAGTTGCAAAATACAAAAAGCTTCCATTAGTGGAAAATAATATTACTGGAACACGAAATATTGTGTGTGAACATGCTGGACATGCACACCAAATTGCTTAGGGTGTATAGATTCCTAAATAGTCTGAACAAAATTCCTTGGAGATAATGTTTTAAAATTTTAATATAGAACAAATGTCACTGTCTAGCAATTTAAAGATATAAGGGACTTCAGAGTTCAATAACAAATACAGAGTTGTTATTTGAAACAAAAATGTAGCTCTTGAGAACAATCAGTTCAGTTTTCTAACAGCAGTTATAGTATGTGGTCATAACCATTTTTCCCCCTTTTACAGGGGTCTCTAGGTACACATTTTTAATGTATCCTAGCACTTTCCAGTTAATGTTTTATACTTCTGTAGCTATTATTTTCTGTTGAAAGAAAACTAGTAAAGGTTGAGTCTAGAAAGGGAAAACAAAGGAAGAAGATCAATATTAACACTACAAATATTGACTTAGCAAAGTGACTTTGTTGTCTTTCTCTCAGAGGAATTGATATTGAATGAATGATTTCTTTATAAGAAACACCTATAAAAAGTATTTGCTAAACAAAACAAAAAATTGCTTGGCAAAGTACATAATTAGATAATCTATTCAACTTCAAAAATTGAAGAGTCATCATTTTCAAACTAAAGGCCTTTTAATAATATTCTTCTTCATCATTTTCACTTTAAAGTAATAGAATTGGCTTATAGATAGAAATGCCACAATCTATAGAAAAACCTCAAAGAATTACTTCACAAACTTTACTGGTTCTCCATAGACACCAAATAGTTATTAATACACTTAATGGCAATTTTTTTCAGAAAAAGTCATAGTTATTAATTTAAAATACTATACCTTTAGTGAGTCTGGCTCAGTTAACTTTGAGTTTTGGTTACTATTAGCCCCCATGGTAAATGTGAAAGAAACAGATGTTTTGAACTTTCTGCTTGTTGCCAGTAAAGAGCTCTTGGTATCACCTGTAACAAGTAAGAGTTATTTGGTCTCATATTACAAAAAGTTGTCAATAGAAAGTTTGTTTCTAAACACGCTGTAGTATAAAAGGTCTGTGTATTAACTTTGTTCTCTTTATTCTTCCAACTGAAATAAAGTCAGAAGTTTTATATTTATCAGGCTTTAATAATCCCTAATTTATAGGCTATTAATAATATTATTTCAATATGTCACCTTTTAGCCTGAAATTTTAGTTTTAATAAACTATAATGAGCATAGCCAAGTTCTATAATAAAATTTTACATCAATAGATTTTTACAGCTGAGTCTAGAAATGGTAGCTGAAACGTTGTATTCTCATTTGTTTTATCACTGATAAGATGGAAGGAAAAATTTATCAGAACATAACCCTCCATTCTTGATCAAGAAATTTTAGCGTCAAAAAGTAAATACCTTTATTTGAGAATGTTTCTTGATCAGTTTTTCTTGTGATTCTAGGTGATGGTTTTGGTACTGGTGATGGATCCCATTCAGGGGGCCCTTCAATGTGGCTCCCAAACTGTTGACGCTTCAGTTTACTGTCAACCTCCAGTTTTTCTAGAGTAGTTTTGAGACATTTCTCATTGGTTGTCACATATAATTTACAAAACTACAGGAAATAAAAATGTAGTCCAGTGATAAAACATTCAATCATACATTTGGGAAAAAGCAAATGCACATTAGTAGGCAAGGGAGAGACTGATGGAATATATTTCCTATTGAACTAGGTTACTTATTTTATTTTTTTGAATCAGACTGACCACCCTCAAGTGACCTAGTGAAATGCAGCCATGATTCAAAGAGGAAGTCATACTCTGAGTAAAAATAAAATGTTACACAAAGAGAAATGATTTATTATTTTTTTACAAGATGTGTAGACTTGCATTTGTTCTAAATAATTTTTATGATTCTTCTACCTCGGAAAAGGTATATTTCTGAGAAGAGTCTCTATGTTTGTGTGTGTGTATGTGAACATGCATGTATTTTAACTTACTTATATTGTTTTTAATGTAGTCATCAGATTACGGTTGTGGGACTAGAGAGATTAAATTTCAAGTACAATTAGTACACAATAAATAAATATGTCATTGCCAATATTAAAAAGATATGTCCCTTTAAAAATACTTCTCCTATACAGTAAACAAATTTACATCAATATGAGCTTATGTACCTTGATGTAGTCAAATTTGCCATCAGCATTTACATCAGCCAAATTTATTATGGCATTTACTTCTTCTCGAGTCATCTTCTCACCTCTCTGAAAAAACAAGATTTATTTTAAAGCCACATGACTATCATTTTGTTATGCATGGGAGAGTGGAAATTCATTTTAATCTATTCTGCAACTAAGTTTGAATATATGGCTTCATTATAAATCTCAGAATAAGTATTATGTCAAGCAAGAATGAAACCATTATATAAAACAAAATTTCATAATTTTATTAAATTTTGTAAAAGTGTGCTGAATTCAGTTTACTAAATTTCAACAATATGTAACATAGATTCAGTAATAACTACTATTAAATTTAGAATAATGATATTTTCTCACATTGTACCAAGAAACAAGATGGATTCTAAATCCCATTTATATTTTCTCTTTTACTCATCACACATGAATCACTGATTTACAGAGTAGTGAGCAGGAAAGAACTGCAAAGAAGCATGGGGAGACTGCAACATGGGCTCAATTTTATACTTTATCTTTTACTTACGAAGCACCTTTCATCCAAAAGGATCCTTAAGTACTTGATAAACAACATATATGTGATTCATTTCACCTATCAATGAAACAATTATTTTTAACGTGCAGTCTTTGGTTGCCAAAGGTAGATTCCAAGTTGTTTTGCAAAATATGCATTTTACAAAACCATTTCACAGATCTTACCTTCGTTAGAAGTTTATAAAGGTCAGTGTGTAAAATAGAGCCATCATCATTTACATCTAATTGCTTAAATGATTTCAGCAGTTCTGCTTTTGAAGTAGGTTTTTCCTTTCTTAAAATTATACAAAAATCATCAAAATTCAGTTTGACAGTTTGAGGAGTCCAATACTTATTAATAGTCTTTTGGGATGGATTTCTTCCTGCATGCTGAAGAGCTGTCCAATAAAACAAATATTATTCTTTTATAGTAACATTTGGAATTGGTATTTAAGTGTATTTTTTCTTTAAACCATTATATATTACAATACTATACAAAAGCATATACATATCAATATATTACCTTTGGTGTTGACAATCTAGTGAGATGATTCTTAATTTATTAATGCCAGAATTAAACAGATTTTTCCTATTCTGACCATTGGTTCTCAACCTACATAGTTTAATTAAGTGACAATATCTAATTTACTTCATAAGAGTGCCTGGTGGAGAAAAAAAAATTAAAAACACCTATCCACTTAATTGTTTTGAGGACATAAGAATAACCACAAAAATCATAAATTATTACTTTTTTTGGCCCAACAAATATCATTGCTAGATACTAGAGTTTCAAGAGCATTATGTCTCAAATGTCAAGTATATGCACAAAAATTATCTACTTGCAGTTACAGCCCTGCTAAAAATCAAGAATGTCAACGAACTTTGAGAGAAGACTATTGTAGACATGCAATGGTCAAATTACTTCTCATTTTTAACCAGAACATTAAAAAATAGTCCTATAACCAGTTATTCATGAGACATACCTATTTTAAAAGCCATGTCCTTATATCTGTGAAAGGCAAAGAATTATGATGTGACAAAGGCTTTGTATATTTGCATATGTCATATCACACTAGATTATAATGGTGTCAAATGACCGTAGTTATTTGTACAGTTGAATAGGAGTAATTTGGTAATTTGCAAATAATCAAATCTCTGCATATGAAGACTTAAGACTATTTAAAATGAACCAGTGATAACTTTCCTAAGCACTATAAAAGGAATTAACAGAATTTTAAAATATATAACTTTCCTGAATTGTGCTTCCAACTTCTATTATAAAACCTTATGTTGGATCTTTCCAAACTTAGATGAGATTTCATAAGATTCATGCATTGTCAATCAGCACTAAAAAATTATAATCTGGATAGTCTACAATTTAATGTAATCATTTAATATATATATATATAACAAATTAACTAAAGAAATATCCTCAAGGAAATAGTAATCATATCAGGGTAATAAATACAGCTATCTGTGAGTCCATTTTGTTGAACATTCACTATGCACAAGCGTAACAGTGTTTTTTTTTCAGAGATACAAGCTTCTTGGCTCCTAAAAAGTTTTATAATCTAAATACAAATTCCACATCTGAAGTGTAAAATTGCTACCTGTGGTCGCTATTTATGGTTAATATTAAAAGTCCACAGACTGAGAGAAATGTTCCTATCCTCCAGATTATGCCAGAGTATCATACTTAAATAATTTAAAATTTTGACACAGAAACAGGAAGAAGATCATTATCCAGAGGTGACTTTCAGAGCTAACAAAAGCTGTAGCTGTAGTAATTGCCATCTTCCACTCACCTAGAAAGCTTTTGTGGAAATTTGTAATAGTAGAGATAATATATATATTTTTTTATTTTCGCAGGTTTGTTCTGGATGTAGACAAAAGCCTTGATTACCATGCTTCCCTAAGAATAAAAGATAAGTATTTTGCCTATTGTATGTCTTTTAGCATTCGATCCCCAGCCAAACTCCATCCTTTAAAGTTGGGAATACAAGTAGGACCTAAATGAAGTTGTGATTACAAAGCAAAAGTCCATGTAAAAGAAAATGCTATTTCATCCAACTTTGAGAAAATAGGTGTGTAACTCTTTTCCACAAGTGGCAGCTCAACATACGTTTGGTGCTATCTTCAATAACAAAATATTTTTAAAATATACTGTTAATTACAGAACACCTTTCTCAGAATAAAATTCGTTATGCCAAAACATGTACTCAGTAAGGAGACATTCCCATATCTAAGAAGTAGGTATAACTTAGTAACTACTAACCTAACTTTAACCTCTAGTTTAAGAATTAGTTGGAGCCCATTAATAAGTCTTATAAAAGTGAAAACATTATATAACTGTAGATGTTTAAAGGTTTACACCAAGATACTTTTGCCAGGGTTTACCTTAAGCTTTGACATGAGTATATAATATCTGTATTATTTAAAACTTGGAGGAAAAAAAGAGGAACTCTTAAAGTTCTGGTAATGGTATTGCTCTATCTGACCTTGAAATGGAACATCAAAGCACATGTTTTGTACCTAAATGGCAGAAGGATATAGATGAAAGACATAGTAAAAAGAGACATCACTGGTTCACACTACTACTTTTTAAAAATCTAGATTATCTGAAATCAGTCATGACAATGTTACAAAGAGTATTCCACCATAAAACCAAAAGTGTATGTAGCACTGAAAAGACAAACTCTGCAGTATTATCTTCCCAGATAATTCTATAAGACTGATAGCATCTTAGTAATACATATTCATTGTCTCATAAACTAAATGTCATAGTAGCGGAAGGCATGTTAAACTTTTAAACTTAGTAGATTTTTGTGATCTCAGCCCATTTTCAAAAGAATAAAGAGAAAAGACTAAAACTATAGTTTATAGTAAAATATAATCTTACTAAAATAAAATCTTTTCAATTTTCATATTCTCCAAAACGAATTTTCTCAAATAGAGATTTCATACAAACCCGAGACATTGCAAAATTATGTCAGATTTCTTATTTAAGGAAACTGCGTCTAAGGATGGCAAAATAACTCATAATTTCTCTACTTACAAAGTTAACCTTTACGAAAATAACATGAGTATTCAGTGTTATCTGGTATTGTTGTTTACCACTCTCAAGACTAAAGACCTCCAAGTCATTGGATACACCTGGCAAGGACCAAATTCATTTTTGGGGGGATATTTGCAATCAGAGGAATATGATAATAGAGAGAAGTAATAAAAGATCATTCCCCTCCTCTTCCACAAAAATCAAAACAAAACCAGAACTATTAATTCTCTTTTCAAATTTCACTTATTTCCTAATACTTTTACAATCATTCACCCCATTTTTATATATCCTTTACATTTTCATAGTATAGGTTAAATTCAGAGTAGTGATTCAAATAACAAACATGTTTTAATTCTATTGTTATAAATCTTAAAGTACTAAAATGAGAATTAAAAAAATATTTTTAAGTAATTGATGGAAGCTTTAAAAATACTATTCTAGTCTGTATAAACATTGAAATTTTTATTTTGAAGGTCCTAGGATACGTAACTATATAAAATGGCACAATAACATAAGTAGTAGTTCCATTGTTCAAATCACTAAAATTCAACAACATAATTCTAATTTCAGTCTTTCTGCTCTATTAACTTTCAATAAATAAGGCAAAATAATTAATTTAAAAAATTATTTTTACCTAAGTAAAGTTGCTCTTTAGAAATAATGTTTTCTAAGCTGCTTTTGAAAACAGTTAAATAGGCAGCTCTACAATTCATATAAAATATTTCCTCTTCAGTTAGTGGAAATTTCTTTGTTTGAGGACTCTCTGAAAGTGTTGATTTCTGAGTGGAGAAAGCTGCATCACTTCCAGGACTGGTGGCCATTCTATGAGAAAATAATTTAAAAATTTAGTTTAGTCAATGTTAATCCCCTAAAATGCAAATGGTACATTGCCTTTCAAATGGGAAAATCAAGACATTAAAGTTTATATATGTGGGGAAAAAAAACATGAACATCACATATGCATAATGTTGTATTATATGTTAAACTAGGACAAGCCTCTGGTGATACATGTATGTGTGTGTGTGTATGTGTGTGTGTGTGTATATATATGTGTGTACATATATATATACACACATATATATACACACACACACATATATATGTATATATGTACATATATACTTATATATTTACACACACATATACCAAAAGAACAAAGCCAAAACAAAGATGTAACATTAATACAAAAGAAGAATCATAGGGCAAAAAAAAACCCCCAAACAAAAAAAAACCCCACACATCTATTCTCACAAAATAGGACAGTCATTTGACACTCTTTGTAGGGTTGTCATGAGAATTAAATAAGTTAATACATGTGAAGCATATAGAACAGCACTTGGCACAAATTAAGCACTAAATAAACTATAGATAGAGTGAAATTCCATAGTAATTAGAATGTGGATATAATATGATAGGCAGTCGGCATCAATGTCTACAGCAGGATCAACCAGGTCATATTCACATCTGAATAATGTGGCCCACATTTTAAATGAATTAATTTTTAAAATTCCATTTATAGTGTTACCATGAGATTTTACCGTGTTCCATTACTAATAATAATGTTTGGGGTTTATATAGCACCTCTGCTCATAAGAGCTTAAAGAAATGTCACACACTACGATTTATCCCTACCTACTACAATAGTGAGGTATTTTTTTTGTCCATTTTACAGATAAGGAAATCGAAGGACACAGTGTCACCAAGCTAATAATAGTAAGTAGCAAAAGGCAGTAAATTTCTATAACAGTTTCTTCTTTATTAATGTGAATGAAAGCTTCTTGTACAATAGTTACTATGAGGCACTAAATTGTGCTGGTGGTCTAACGGTTTCCAACATTATTTTACCCAGCTTTGACTTTTAAAAATACATTCCAATCTAATAAATTTAATATTTCAAGTTCAACAATAAGACGACACAGGTAGGGTCCCCTTCAGGACTCATTGGATTCTTACTCAAGAGGCCTAAATCACTTGCACCTTCTTGAATTATATAGGTCTTTTACACTTGGGAAAGAAAGATAATCGCTTATCATGGATGAAGTACCCTATTTATAATACACAGACCGCCTGCCTGACACTTTCATATTACACCAGATTTAGAAGGACCCCATAGGGATGTGGAGTCACAGTCTGGTTACTGCAAATTGGTGTCACTATAATTAAGCATCAGAGTTTTAAACACATATGCGTACACTTATCTCCTCAAAAATGTGAAAAAAACCGTTCCAAATAAGGGAGAATTAATGTTAATTTTGCAGCAAGCAATTAAAAATGTAAGTATTTTTTTAGGATTGTCGTCGAATGCTCTTTCCAAATAAGGTCACTCCCCCTCGTGGAAATCCCACGGCAGAATTGTTTCAGAATTCTGTTCTTTCCTTTTCTGTGACGAGAGACTAAACTGAAGCTTAAATATATAATTGCACCCCCTCAGGCTCGGAAACCTCCTTCATTTAAAACTCCAGCCGGATACTCAGACAGGGGCCTACAGAGTACACTGCAGCAAACGGCTCCATAAATAACCAGCCACATAATAGCAAGAAAAATAAACTAACAAGTGCCTATGGCTTTTAAAGGGCCAAGTGAAAACAGAGTGCCGGCCATCCAGTCACCGTCCCTACACAGCGATATATGTTCACAACTGATCTCGGGCAATAGCTCCCTATTTTTGTATTCCTCTGGGCATAAAAGTGCGTTTACAGGTACGTTTTAGGTACCTACATGGACCAAGTGTTAGTACGACATAGGAGTAAAAGAAGCAGGTGGGAGAAAAGGAAGCCGAACAGAAAAAAGCGGAACGGGCAAAGATAGACAGCGAGCTGATTGCTACCTAATTCCAGCTCACAAACGAGGAACCGCAGCCTGTTTTCTGCACGGATTCCACAACCAGCTCACGGCAGTCGGACAGACCTCGGCCTTTCTTTAATTACCATGGCAACTGCACTTCTCCACCACCGGAAATAAAATGCAGAGCACCTCCCGAAACGGTCCGGCTAGAAATATGCGGATCGTTAATCCACAGTGAACGGAGACGGTTCTATCGTTCCTCTATTGGGGACCGTTATGGCCAGAATCGTGAGAGAGGGTCCTGTATTGCACTGGCAAAGAGACTGGATGCGGTCCTAGATGGAGACTCCCTTCTTCCCCGCATGCACTCGGATCCCTTGTCGCGGAGACTTTGTTTCCGGTGGGCCCCGTTAAGTGTGACACGACGCCGAGCGCCCGCAGGCCCGCGCTTTTTAGGCTTCTGCGTTTTCTTCTGAAGGTTGTTGGTTTTCGGAAGGAATTGCTCAGTTCGTTCCCGTGGCGGTGGTTCCCTGATTGTCGAAATGCCGTAGGTACCTCCTCCCCAAGTATTGTTGTTTGGGCTCCTTCGTGAGCAAGAAGAGCAGATATTATGTGCCTCAGTATTCTTTTTTGTTTTTCTACTTTTCTGAGTATAAACTTGTCTGCTTCGACGGTTCCTGGTGCTTGGTACCATCAACCCACCTCTTCATCTTCTAGCCCTAGTAATCTTGTAGTCTTTGTCCAGATTCTCCCAGGCTTTTGACAGATTTTATAGACTGTGGGCTATATTTAGTGATGTATTTAATGCTTGAAATAATTTCAAATTTGGTTAACGTACCGAGACTGGAACAGTAGATTGAAATACGCTGTATAATTTGATAAAGCCCTTTAGTGCCTGTGTTAGTGTGGTGAATTCACATAAACTTGTGGGAAAACTCAAGGACTGGGTCTCTGACCTGGATTCCAGCTCTCAAAGGAGGAAGTGTAGCCAATTCTGGACTTCAATTTTCATATTACTGCCCTGTAGGAACTTTTTTAAGTTCAATAAAGAATTTTTCTTTAGGGCGGGGTGATTAAGATCTAACACGTGAAATTATCAAGTTGTCCCTTGTCCCCAAGTTGACTTATGTACCCCTTCCTGTGCACTTCTAGAGTAACCTTTTCCTCTGTTATTTTCAGGTGTGAGCCAAATGCAAAGTAACACAGTGGAGGAAATATTTGTATCAAATAGGAATTAACATTAAAGTGGAAAGATGTAAATCTTTATGATTTACATTTAACAATTTACCTACATTTTCTCACTGAATCCTAAAAAGGAATTTGGGAGGTAGGGGCTGCCATTATCTATACTTTCCAGATATGGAAACTCAGCACTTAATTTGGTGTCCTACATACTGGTTGTTTATACATCTGTGTTTCACTTACATCCTTAAAAGATATGGATTATTGAAGAGATTTTCCTTTCCCCAGAATTAAGCAAAAAGACTTATCTCTCTACTGCTGCACGAGAAAAAAAAACCAGTTAGCTCTTTTGTGAAGTTGCATGGATAATGTAGCAAAATCCCTGTTAAGCAGCAATACAATGAAAACTGGTGTGTATTTGCTTAATAAGTGGTGACACTTCCTGAACTATGGTCCTGTTCTGTTATAGGTAGTGGGAAACCAAAGAACTATTAAAAGTGGAATTTTAGGACAACTTTCAAAAATACATTAACAGGTACATATTAGGAGAGTTTGTGGTAAATATATTTTGACAATAAATACATGACCTTAAAGTTGAGGCTGACATCAAAGGACACATATCCAACATAGAATTTATACTTAGAATATATAAAGAACTCTTACAACTTAACAGTAAAAAGATAAAAACCTTATTAAAATAATATCAAAGACTTGAACCATTACCTAATAAAAGTTATACGAATGGCAAGTAAGTATGTTGTTAGACCAGGAAAATGAAAATTAAAACTATATTGAAATGCTGTTTAACACCCAGTGGAATGACTGTATATACAGCTTCATTTTAAGAATACTAGGTGAATACTGAATCTTAGTAAATAGATTTGTTTTGCACAGAGGTATGGGTTAGCACTTATGAAACTAGTTTCTGTGTATTCTAGGCTTGAGCAAATAATAGGTATTGAAGATAATGGGATCTTGGTTTTCACTGTTGGATAGACAAATTTAAAATATTTTGGCTTAGTATTGGAAATATCACTATGAAATCATAGATTTATATATATGTACATATATAAATACAAGTAGATAGAAGTGTGTGTGTGTGTGTTTTCTGTTTTAGCTCTGTCCATTGTAAGCAATGACAGAAGTAGCAGTGAACACAAGTATTGCCCAGATCTTGATTTCTAAATACCATTATCCACAGGAAACTGAGTTTCGTTGAAACAAAAGCTACTTCTAGAGCCCAGACAATATTTTTTGTGCTAGAAAGTAAGGAGTGGTCAAAGAATTACAGGTACATAGGGTACACTGGAGGTGGTGTGAAATGATAGAATTAGAAAATCACCAATGGCTCTTTAAAAGTATTCAGAGAAAGTTTGATATGAAACAAGATATTTACATACAAGTTTTCTTATTGCATTGGAGAAAACTGGCAAATAACATCTTAATGAGCAAAACACATACATATCACTAATGTTGTGACAAAGCAGTGTCATGTGTCTCAAGTTATGCCCTCTAAAGGATGCATCATCACTTCTGTGATATTTATGCCAAAAAATACTTAACTTCATTATGGGGAAATATCAAATAAACCCAAATTGACAGATATTCTACAAAAATAGCTGGTTTATACTCTTGAAAAATGTTAATATCAAGAAAAGGAAAGGTTGAGGAACTATTCTGCATTAAGGGAGACCAAAGATATGGTAAGTCTGGATGAAGGATAAAAAGAACTCTTATTCCTAGAACCTTTTTTAAGTTTAAAATTATATAAAAATTGTTACAAAAAAACCTCATCAAATTGTTTTAAAAAGTACTAATGATGAGTTAAACAGTAAGTTAGACACAGTCGAAGAAAGAATTAGATAACTGGGAGATAAATCTGAAGAAATTGCCAAAAATATACCAATGATAAGATATAGGAGTTTAGAGATATGGAAAATGAGACGAGAAAGTCTAAAATTACTTCTATATGAAGTCTCAGAAAAGTAGAATAAAGACGAGTCAATATTTGAAGAGATTATGGCTTAGATTTTTCCAGAACTATTAAGACACAGATCCATAGAAGAGACTATTTCAGAGACCATGTTTATATGATATCCTTTGGGAACCTGCATTTAAACTACCTTAAATAAGATTGGAGGATCATAAAAATTAAAAGAAATATATTCTTGGATTTGAGACTGAGGTTTTAAATTAAAAATAAATATAATTAATTAAATAAACCATTAATTTATATAACAGCTTTGTGCCTATCACTGTGTCAGGCTTTGGGGATTCAAATGTGAACAGATACTATACCTTTCTAGGAGTTTTAATTTTAGTGGGAGAGGTAGTTCAAGTGTTTTTAGAACTCATAACCTACCGGTGAACAGACAGGGTGCTAATGATATAAATATCTTAGTCTAGGGAAAAAAGACTAACATAAGTAGACTATTTCAGCATAATAAGTTTAGTGAGAGACATGCACAAGTGCTATAGGTATAGACCGAAAAGATTCTTAGTGCAAACTGGACATTGTCAGGAAAAGCTTAGAAATGGTTGTGCTGAAATCTCAAAGAATGGGTAGCATCAATATTTATTATTTTTATGTTGTGAAATTACATATAAGAAAGTATGTAAAATATTATCCATCTGCCATACTTAATTCTGATAAACCTATTTAGCCTTTTCAATAGACTCTTTTAAAGGGCTTATATTTTTTATGTATATGTATGTGTGATGATACTTGTTTATATGTTTCTCATAGAAGGTAATAATAATGAATATTTTATTAATGTTCATTTTTGAGAGTACCCATTTAGGAGTGAAATGATTTTATGGCATTTCTCATTTTATTCCACCCAAAGAACATCTCACCCCCATCTATCATAGGGTCACAATTCCCAAATATATCCTTTTCGCTTTTGTAAGAATTCTTCAACTAATTCTTTATTAATGTTTTAATAAAGAAGCTTTTGACACCATAAGTATGTTTCCTAATAACTGGGTAAGTTTTCGACTCTTTTTGTCATGAAGAATAACAGGTTTAATCGTTTAGGTGCCTTCACATGGTGACCATATTTTTACATGTAGTGATGTTCCTACTCACCCATGCTGTGATAGTGAGTTAGTTATTGTGTAAATACTTGAATGTTGAACACAAAAGAGCATAGGCTTGAATGAAAGGGAGAATGCAAAGAGGATGTAGGAGAATTTTTTCCCTTCTTTGCTCTTTCCTATACATAGAATGGTAAAAAATCATTTTAGATATGTCAATTTACACCCAAAGAGTCACATGGAATGTGGATTTGGCCATTGCCTTTCATTAGAGGATTCCTAAGTATTTCATAAGCATACTTAATAATCCTAGACACTCTTGTGAAGTAGTTGGCAATATTCTCCATTATAGTGAGGAATAAATGGCAGCACTGACACACTAAGTAATGTTTTTATTTTCCATTTGGAAATTTCCTACTAGTTTACAGGCCAGGATTATAAACTTTATGAAGCTTAGTGAGATTATGTTATTTGCCCAATCTTTGTGGAAGAATTTGACATTGTATCAAGACTCCTGAGTCTTATTTGCTTTACTAAGTTTATCTTTCTCCCCCCTCCCACAGACACTCTTACCTTCAGCTTAGCTAGTTAAAATTATATTTAATCCAATGTTTTGAAAATCCTATAAGAGAACCTCAAATCATGTAATTTCGTGAGTTTTTGAGATGTCATTCCTGGTTCTTAATTAGGAATCAAGTGAAAGTTTGCTTTTTAAAGAATTTCTTTTGTGTTAGAACATACATAACAAAATTTACCATTTTAACCATTTTTTATTAAGTGTATTAGGGTAACATTGGCTAATAAAATTATATAGGTTTCAAGTGTGTAATTCAGTCATACATCATATGTATATTGCATTATGTGTTCACCACCCACAGTTAAATTTCTTTCCGTCACTATATATTTGACCCTCTTTACCTTTAATTACCTCCTTCTGGTAACCACTGAGCTGTTGTTGGTCTTCATGCTTTCAGTTTGATATCCCACCTTCATTAACTTTTTAAGTATACAGTTCTGTGGCATTAAGTACATTCACATTGTTGTACAACAATCACCATTGTTCATCTCCAAAACTTTTTTCATCTTGCAAAACTGAAACTTTGTACCCATTAACTAACTCCTTATTCACTCCTCTTCCCATTCCCTGGCAACCGCCTTTCTATTTTCTGTCATTATGAATTTAATTACTTAAAGTAGCTCATTTGAGTGGAAGTATATAGTATTTGTCCTTTTGTGATGGCTTGTTTCACTTAGCGTAATGTCCTCAGGGTTCATCTAGGTTGTAGCATGTGTCAGAATTTCCTTTTTAAGTCTGAATAATATTCCATTATGTCCATGTATATGTGCACGTGTGTGTGTGTTTATACAACATTTTGTTTACTCATTCACCTGTTGATTGACATTTGGCATTTTCACTTTTTGGCTATTGCGGATACTACAGCTATGAACATGGGTGTACAAATATCTATTCAGGTCCCTGATTTCATTTGGATATATACCCAGAAGTGGAATTGCTGGATTGTGTGATAATTCTATGTTTAATTTTTGAGGAACCACTAAAGTTTCACACAGCAGCTGTACCATTTTACAATCCCACCAGCAGTGCACAAGGGTTCCAGTTTCTCCACATCCTGGCCAACACTTATTTTCTGTTTTCTTGATAGTTGCCAAAGTAGTAAAGTTGTATCTCATTAAGATTCTGATTTGTATTTCCTTAATATTAGTGCTACTTTTAATATTAGTGATGTCGAGCATCTTATTTTGTGTTTATTGGCCATTTGTGTATCTTTGGAGAATTTTCTATTTGAGTTCTTTGCCTATTTTTGAATACCCAATTTTTTTTAAACCAAGGTAGTAACCATACAAGCTGCTTATAACTTTACAGAGATATATCACTTATAATTGCTAACTAATACTGATGGCAAGTGAGTAAATACTTAGGAAAATGTCCCATATGTCTAATCGAGTTTTGCCTGTTCTTTATAGTATATTTTTCATCCATCTCTTCTTCTCTGTTCCTATTAACATCATCCTAATCTGTTTGACATAATCTCATACTTGTATTACAGATGTACCTGGGTGAAAGAGCAGGTAAAAAAGGGGGGATGGTAAAAGTATATACTAGGTACTTAATTTAATAATAGATATCTTGACGATAGGATCCATTCTAATAGAATAGTAAGAATAGATGGTCATAAATTCCTCTAAAGTAGTTATGCCAAAAAGTAGATTCATTCTTCATTACCTCTTCTTTAGCTTCTCCCCCTCAGTTCAACAAAGATTTATTATGCATAGGATCTGAGATCTGAGTTTCTCTCACTCAAGCTATGTGACAGTAGACAACTCACATCACCTGGTCCCTATTGGCTGAATGAAATGATTTATGTTTCTCCTACTCTTGCTTATTAAATTTCTTGTGAGTCTTGTAAATACTATCAGCTTTTGGTTATTAGATGCCTTAATTATATGAAAACCACATTTCCCATAATAAATCATGTTTTTAGAGTCTCACTAAACTGTTCAACTGGGAGTAAACAGTCTAACTCTGCTCACTTTCTTGTTTACTTTTACATATTTCCTTGGACTGCTTAGATCAACCTAGGACCTAAACTGGAAACTTTTAAATCCAAACATTTAGTTTCTTTCTCTAGGGAATTAGCCATCAATAATAAAGCAGAAATGTTTTGAACATTTTGAACAGTTAACAGGATGACGCTTGTTTCTTTCTAAAAGATGGTATTGCATCTTAACAGCATTTGAAAACAAAAGATAAAAAAATGCCATACTGCATACTTTTAGTTTTTGATTTTTACTTTTGAAGTTTTATAAACTGCCAGAACATCTCACACACCTGAATAGGGTTATATATATTCCGAAGCTAAATATAAATACTTTTTTTGGATTATCTGTCATTTTTATTTGTTTGTATCTCTCTCGTTACTTCATTGAGAATTCACATTAAATTGATTTCAAGTAGACTTCTAAAAGATATAATTCTTTAAACCATTTTAATTTATCTTAAGAAATAATGTGATAGGCTAATGCAGATATAATAGCAAAATTAAGTGAACTCTTTTTAGATAAAATTTTTGTATTTAATGTTTACTGCTCAGTAATTTTTGTAAATTGCCCATCTATTTTTTCTCGCTCCTGTCACTTGTTTGAAAGTCATTTATGAATAGTCATTTCTAGGTTGTATAAGCTATTTTGTTTCTTTTCTATACTGCAACCTTTATAATACAATCTATTTCTCCTAATGCTTCAATTCTCTAATATTTTAAATAATAATTTCTATTTTACAGGAATCAAGAAAGTACTTTTAATGCTGTATTTGTCACTGGGAAAACTAGTTTTAATTTATATTGACCTTTTTCTCCTTTGAGCATTTAGTCTGCATTCAATAAAATGTTGATGGCTGCTCTTTAGAAGACAGCTCTATGAAATAAAGTATTATAAATATTCAGCTTCCCTTTCTAAGCATTGTCACCAACAGCTGGGCATCCAGTTTAGCAGAACAGATTTTGCACAGAGAGAGCCTGGCATGTTCCTGAATCAGTTTAGTGAAGGAGACAAAAAATAGTTTCATATGGATTGGGGACTTATAAAGACATAGAGCATCTGTTCCTCAGTTAAGTCATAGTCTGGTAGCACTGAATCATGTTTAAAGCTAGAATAATGTGCAAAACTTTTTTCACCTTGCTCATACCTTTATTTTAATACCTAGTGTATTTGTGCAAATAATATACTTTCAACATTTCCATTGAAAGTATGTAAATTGTTCTTATGTATAATTTATTATTAGCGGTATCTTAAAACAGTAATTTTTTACTAAGATTATTTTATAATATGATTAATTATTGAATTGTATGATAGTACATATATAAAACCACATATGCATAAAAATAACCATTTAAATATTTAATTATGATTCTATCTTGAAATATGCTATTTAAAAAAAAAGAGTCATCATGGTGAAAATTGCTTTCTTCATATCATTCTACTTGGTGAAAGTAACTTAGAGTCTTCAAATATATATTACTCTTAAATATTTGGCTAGTTAAAACATTAAATCTAAATTTTCTTTAAACACTTCGTTTTCAGTGTTAAAAGATCACTGAAGTTGGATGGTCTCTTAGGAGCAAATGTAAGTATTACTGGTATGTAATTATGAAATTGTGTTCTTAATTTTTTAACAGCTAATTTACCTTTTTTTTTTTTTTTTACTAACTATAAAAACTATCAAAACCATTATGACATAATTGTAATTGGTATACCATTTTCTGCATCTAATGTATTTTTGCATATATTATGTATGAAGTTCCTGGCTAGCTTGAGGTTTTCATTTAAGAGGCAAGTTATTTAGAAACCTTAATGAAATAATTTAGTAGAAATTAATTCACTATTTGTAGAAACAAATATTCTACCACTTAAATACGTAAGAAACAATATAGAACAATGGCAGTGCTTTAATTTCATTCTATAATCTGCTAAATTGAAATAAAAACATTCACAGCATTTTTATATCAAAAATGTAATTACCTCCTTCAGCTATGCTGGCATGATTAAACAATAAAATACTAACACTGTAATAAATTTTACCATGGTTGTCACAATAAAAATAAAATTGTACTGTTGCTATTACTTTTTGTAAATGTAGTCATAGCACATTCCCAGTGCCAGCATTTCATGACATATGTTAGTTTATTACCTTTTCATACCAATATGAATTTAGATACAAACACTAATACTGAAATACTTATGGCCTCAGTAATCTTAAGTGCAGATAAATTGATGAGAAAGTAAAAAAAAAAACAAATAGCTAGTCAATAAATAGGCTCTTACAAAATCCCATGTGAGAATGCCATTTCAAGAAATGGTTTTATACGAAATTCTTTTTTGGAAGACTCACTGGTATTTAATAGTTTACCATTTTAAAAACTTCCTAGGTGCTTTTTAAAAAAATTTAAACAAAGGTGGCAAAATACTGCAGTGCTACTAAAAAAATCATTAGCGGTGTAATTAGCAATTTAGAGTACCATTATCCAACTTGCTCTGTACAGAATGCAGCTGTGACTGCAATTCTGCATCTGTTTCTTTGGTCAGAATGGTATTTTGGTAGATGAGTAGTCCAGCTTGAAATGAAATACTGTTCTTTCCTGTCCCCAAACTGTTCTTTGGGAAATGGTAACATTATTTGAATGGAAAAGAATGGCCATTTTGAAATTCATCCTCTTTGTGAAGTACAATTGTCGTCATGGCAGGCTCTCTATCCATTTTTTTTCCCCCAGATTAGGCTGTATCAAACTAGCCAGTGCCACAGCTAATATCCTGTATTAGAAAAATACATTGTTATGTTTGGCCCAATTCTGTACCTTTAAACCAATTGACTTAGCTTGGTACCACATGGCCACCACCTGCTAAATACCAGTTCTTGGCCGCCTAGCCTGGGCCTTCACCATCTCCTATTTACAAATCTATTTCTGGTATTTTCAGCTTTTGTACTCTGCCTCATCATTTGTTTGCAGCTCTATATTCACATCTTCAATCTGACATCTTTTGCCCTGGTGCTAAGTCTAAGCTTCTCTCCTCAGCTACATGTATGCTTCCATCTACCCCAGGAACTTAGCCCTGAAGCAGCCAGGTTCCCAAGATCTACTCACGTGCCAGTTATCCCATTGAGGCTGCCTTAGCCCATGCAAAGGAAAATTAGACATTCAAAGCTATAATTCTGAATATGTAATTACTATGAAGCTACAGAGGAACTCGTAGGAACTTTGTGGTCATTTTGCCTTACCAACATGAAGTTGAAGAAAGATTTTGGCGTTCAAGGAAAGGAGATGACACATGTGCCAATTAGTTGAAGTGAAGCTTGTTCATCCTAATCTACTGCTATTTCCTCTCTCAGAGATGTTGGGAACTCCCATATCTCAGGGTTCCCAAAACAGCTACAGATCTTGGAGATTAATGCTCTATGATGTTGGGGCAAGTCTGAAAAAGTCATTTTCTTTATGATTCTCCTAATGGGGGAAGCAGAGACATGGATAATCCTGTGACCTTCCTTTAATACATAGACTGTACACCGCAAGTTCCACTTCTTCCTGAACCTTCCAAATTGTTGAGGGGTAGTGGGGAGTGATGAAGGTTTCAGTTTATCATCACCTAAAGTATTTGGGCTGCTCAAGTTATTGCTCTCCAACCACTGTTTCTCGATGAATTTTTAGAAGCATAGATGAGTTATTTATTACAGACTGCCACCGATAGCAGCTCAGATGAATTTATCAGGACAACTGACTGCCTGGTCATAGATCTAGCCTGCTTGACCCAATCTCTCAGGCCACCTCAGAGAAGGAATAGAAGCAGCAAATGCTACAGATGGG